ATTTATGTATTATTATATATGAATTAAAGAAATGTGTTACTAATTCAATTACAAAAATATACCACATCCAAAAATTTCTTTACTGCGGTAAAAAGCTAAGATGCTTCGGATGTTAGTCGGATCATGAAGATTTGCCTTATCCCCGCGCGGCGGATTAACTTGCTGATCATGTTATGAAAAACTTATTCTAAGTTATATTATTTTGTGGTCTTATATTATTTATAGTTGTTATGTACTTTGAATTTTGTGGTGTATTTATTTTCTTGCTATATATTAGGTGTCTACTGTCTATTACCATAGATGTTTTCTTGAAAATTATTTTTATTTTAGCGAGATCGTAATACAAAAAGTCAACCAGAATTTAAAGTTCAAAGCTTTAACTCTTTATGCTATATGCTCTTATATAAGCTGGTATCATGTTCAATGGTATGGGGTAGAAACATATAGGAACATACATATATAGAAACACGTATTGTTCTACACAATATATCAAATAACTGTGCTATATATAAGACTAGTGACTCACCCTCGTTTCGCTTGAGTTCGTCCCTAGGTTGATTCTTCATACAAACTTTCATCCCCCTTTTTTAACAAGATAGAGATGAGAATTTGATTATGAGAATGAATAAGATAGAGATGAGAATTTGATAAAGATAGAGATGAGAATTTGATGATGAGAATTTTTTAAGAAGAGATAAAAGTATACTATATCCTTCCTAGGGTCTCAAACTATCTTCTTACCAAATTTCATCTAAATCGGTTCCGTAGATCCAGAGGTCCTACAACTTACAAACTTTACCTCTTTACATTATTTGTATACATTAATTGTATCATGTTAAAGGAACATAAAAATTATTTACATCGAATAAAGTTAGTTTCCACATTAAAAACTCACCCCGGCTTATGCTACACGGAACTTAAGAAAGTTAGCGAGTTAGAAGAGATTATAATATACCATATTAAGAGTTACTCTGTTAGTTTAGTTTTCTATTAGAGGACTTATATTTGAATGTTTTTGTTGCCGTTTTCTGCATTAATATTATAAATAAGTATTGTTTGCATACGAGGGGGATCAAGCCATAGTCCACCACGTTAGCCAAGTCCAGGTTCTCCGACCTAACATATCTTTCGAAAACTTGGTAGGTTCTCGCACACGCAGCTTTCTTCACGAAGTTTCTTTCACCGTAAGACAAGTGGTAATCATGTATCAAATAGTTCGGATATGAAAATATTCGAAGTGCGAGACGCGGCATTTGAATCCGCTTAGTTTCCCAAACTAGCGCGTTACCACTGGGCTACCAATGCCTATGTCATATTAACTGTGTAAAATTAAGAAGGTATTTTATTCGTTTATATAGAAGCAAGTTTAAAATTTATCTGTTATCGTTCCTCAAATAAAATTAAAATACATATGTATATGTCAAATTTTAAGTTGGAAATAGATTTTAATCTACTACGTAAACAAATTAAACTCCAGGCCTTCTTAACTAAGTATGTCTAATTGTGATAAAAAATATGCCTATATTAGTCAGCTTTAAACTAAAATTTCAATCGAGCCTTTAGTAATATAAGTAGACTATACAGCTAAACTATCTAAAAGATTTTGTTTATTTGTTTTAACGTCTAGAAATATTAGCATGATTTGAAATAAAAAGATGTAGAAAAGCTAGTCTCTAAGAGTCTAATATAATATGTACAATTTTTATAAAACACATCTTCTAAAATAAAATATGAAAAATTTTATAATATGAAACATGCGACATAGCCGTCATATTTATAGATTTGTTAAATGTAAAAGTCAGCTAATGTACCATCAATCAAAATCATATTCGGTTGAGCTGAAAGTCTCAAAACGTACAATTTCAATACATTAACGGTAACTCGAGAATTTCCCGACACATAACCTGTCATTTAGCGATGTAGTCACTTTTGACTACTTACGACTGCTTCTAGTACACGATACGATTAAAAAATTTATAATTAATAAATAATATGTTTTTGCATTGTAAATGGGATCAACAGCTTTATTAAAAATGCGTACTTCGTTTCCCCATCGATATTAATTTGATTAAATTAGGATATTTTTACTGTGTAAAGAAATCTACTTATAACAATCAAAACTAAAATAAGTTATTAATAGTGCACTCATATTATAATAAAGTATACATTAAAAAGACCGATAGTATTTACACTAATAAAACTGGACGGAAATTTAATAATTAGGCGTTTATAAATATTTTTTTTGAAAATTTACATTATCTTATGCAAAAAGAAGTTTTAAAATCAAAGCGACTAATCGTATCGCATATACTAAATGGCCCTTAAAGAGTTTGCCTCGATTTTCTTAACATATTTTCAGCGGTCTTTAACGTTAACTTTCACGTTAACTCTCGTATGAAGTGTTTTAAAACATTACGGTACGCTGACGCAATTAGCGTGAGGGTAACTTTTAAGTCAGTCAGTTTTAAGTCTTTTTAAGCTGCACATTTAAGTTTTAACGTTTCCATAAAGTGCTGAGTTCGCGACTTGTGTGAATACGGAATTAGTTTTTAACTCTATTTCATGAGATACGATTTATTATTTTTAAAAGTGTGGATAAAGTAGTCTCCTTTAAAGTGTCTTAGAACACTTTAAAATATTGCAACATAACATTTTTATGATTTTCTTTATTGCTTCGTAGTTCTTTTATGTAGGTTTATTACGAACATAGTACATATAGTGAACATTATTCATCTTAACTTTAAGTATCTAAGTAATGAAGCGTTAGTAACATTTAAGTACTACCAGACTCTTTTTCACACTTAAATTATAACATTCATTCACTGCCTCCAAAACATCGAGCACCCGAAAATCGCTTAAACGTAATTGTTATAAAGTTACTAAAATCACACAATACATTACTATTATACTGGGATCTATTGTACCTTCATAAAAGAAGCAATTATAAGACCACCCGCTAAAGGCTCATTACACTTTACAAACAATGTATTTGTTATTATTTAACTCCTCCATGGCTGGAGTAAACTCAAACAGTCGTCGCTTACCGAACAGTAGGTAATTACCGCACCCCTACAGTTTGTAACACCCCTTATAAGAAACGACAACCGCATATTAGACTCTAATTCTAATAATATAAGGATCAAAATCTGGCAGCTATTCTGTAGACTATAATACGACAAATTTTGGTAGGTCTATAACAATTTATTAGACTCTCCTGATCACGTACTTTAAGTGAGAGCGACGAGGGATGAAGGGTGTCTTTTCAAAATGGTTGATGTTTGTTAAAAGTGACATGGTTTATGTTATGACATGTGTTTTTAAAGGTCAAAGATTTTGCAACTGTTTCTTTTTAAAGTAGGTACATATAACATTTTGCTGAGATACTTCTTTTCTATGAGCTTACTTTTTATTAAGATAAGTTTTAGGGCAAACAGACAGTTACGTATTTGCATATTTTTTTAACTTACCAAAATTCCTAATTAACTGCTAATAATTAACAACTACATATATACACTAGGAAAAAAAGTGTGTGTTTGTTCTGTTTAGAAAAATTATCCTAACATCAAATAATAACTTAAGTCGGAGTGAATTGGGGGTTGTACGCGTTGAAATATTAATTCCACTCTCGTAAGAGATAAAAACTATTAGGGCTCATCGGATTATGGCCGGATTATTATTTTAACTAAATTAGCTTACCGTCGTTAAGGGCACTATGGGTACAGTTACGTCAAAGATTAAGTTTCTGATCTAAACTTTTTTTTAAGTTTTTATTACATATTTACATTTATTTTTATTATTTATTTATATATTACATTTGTGTATTTTCTATATAAGTATTTTATATAATATTTATTGGATAAGATATTAAGTGATTTGAAATTGTAGAGCAATGTATCTATTATTCTTGTATGTACCTACTAAAAATAATTATTACGAAACAAAATTTATTATTATTGCGAATAAAGTTTCTAAAATCTTTTACTGCTAAAAATAACATGTACACACAAAATAACTAATATCATAAAAACTCAATCCAAAAGCAAATATAAATGAGTTAGTGCCTAATTTCAAGTCTGTACTAATTTTGACACCATCACTATGAGATTTCATAGCACTCACCCACCAGAGGGCTTATTAAAAGTAAATTGCGAAAATTGCACCGGCAAATGTGGCTCGCCTCTCGCCGCGCTCGCTAACCAGCTTACATTATCCAATGTTGTTTGAACTCTCGTAGCTTACATCATAGTGAAGCATACAGCTCTATAATCCTGGCGTTGATTAAACATCAACCAACGTAATGAGAACTGCCATACCGTAATCAAACCGTTGTGGCCGAGTTCCATCATTCTGGTTGGGGTTCACTCCCTTATGGTATCCTGATGGGTAATCTTTGAGTTATAATACTAGCGAAATAGGGTTGTAATGATGTATTATTAAGGCCTCGTGTTGACAGCTCGGATAGAGAGGATTATGGTTTATAGATTTTTTATAATTCCTATGAGTTTTATGAGGTCCATAAAAGTTTATGTTTTTGTTATTATTTACGTGAAAGATTGGAATACTCATTTGTATGTTATATTATATTACTAGCATTGCCCGCGGCTCCGCCCGCATTCAGATGATCAAAAACCAAATTCTTAGGTTTTATATTTTAGTTTTTGTATTTTTTCTCAGAAATGAGGTATTTTCTCGCGGTAAAAAGTATCCTATATGTTGGACCCGGATAACCAGCTATCACCATACCAAATTTCATTAAAATCTCTCCAGTGGTTTTTCTGTGATGCGTTAACAGACAGACACACAGACAAAAATTCTAGAAACTATGGATTCGGCTTCTGTATCGATAATAATGACTATTTCAATAAGATTTTCCAAAAAATATTTAATGTACAGATTGAGCTTTATTACAATTTTATTATATATACCTATAGATATAGGATATAAATGTCTGGATGGTATTTTTTTTTTAAATTTTAGTCTCTATATTTCATTTTTTAAAGGTATGGTTTCAAAATCGAAGAGCGAAGTGGCGTAAGGCGGAAAGGTTGAAAGAGGAGCAGCGGAAGAGGGAGGGCGCTGAAGTGATGGCTAAGAGAGACCCGTCCGATGACAAGGTACCTTGAATATTTGAAACAAGCGAGAAAAAAAGTGCTAAAATCATATAAAGTAAACATAAAAAGTTTTGTTTTATATAAGAAGCTTTTATTTATAGTCTCTATTGTAGTTTATAAGTTGCTAAGTTTTTCTGTTGGTTCCTTCACCAGACAAGTTTTACAGTACCATATTGTTATACTAAATTGATATTACCTACTTATATTTTATTTTTACTTTGTATCAATAATTTATTTGATATTTACCTTAATGGTTAATATTTAGGAATATTTTGTAACAATAGTAATAGTATAATTATAATTTCACTAGTTAAATTAAAATTTCACCGTTTTTACAATTTACCTGCGACATATATAAGCATTATTTCTTTCATTCCCAGGGTTCATCAGAGTGTGGCATGTCTCGAGGGTCTGGTGAGGCCTCGCCCATGTCCGCAGGAGTATCACCGCGGGCCTCCCCCCCTGTCACCCCGGGCTCGCCACGGCGTTCACCACATAGGTCGCCTAATAGATCACCTAGACTTGATAGGTCAGGGAAATAATATAGAAGTTAATTAATGTTAATAATATTATTGCAAAAATATATTTCATAACATTTATTTCTTACTTGTTGACCCGAAAGAGCTTGTTCTATTTTATTTTCAGAAAAAAATGTTCGTGATCTTTTCTTCAATACATACAAAATTCTACAGAAAAAGCTATTTCAGTTTTTTCAGAATTTCTCAATTTTAACTGGCAACTTTGGAAAACTGAACTAAAAACCTAATTCGGATTATTTCGAACATTTAAAGATAAAAAAATGCCATGCATATTGCTCCAGCCGTTTTCAACTGATGTACTCACCAATGAACATTTAATTTTAATTTATATAGATTTCCTTAATAAAGGTTAAGTAAGCTATATACAATGAATTTCATTACATTTTATTGTATAGATCGGAGCCATCTCCAGCGCCGTCGGTAGGCAGCGCGGGCTCTCGGGAAGCTCCGGAACCGAGACCGTCGCACCTTTTCTCACCTTTTGATCAGTGAGTTATTTTGAAAAGTTTATTATTTACTTACTACAAGTAAGTAAATAATAAACTTTTATTTTTTATTTTTTATATCTTACAAAGATAATTTGCATTAATTATTTTATGTAATAAATTATAGGTTATAATGTTAAAAATCGTGTTACATCGAGTGACTACGAATTAAAATGTGTGGGCTCAATTGTTTCATAATAACGTTTAGAATATATGCGATGTTTTAAACTCACACTTAAACAATTGCAAAAGTTATTAAGAATTAAACATTCGAGAAAAAAAGAGTGGACCATTTATTAACTTTACTATAATTTAAAAAAATATTCATACTGAACTTTTTCATAAAGATCTTGATAAAGCGTATGTTAACCCGGATGACCAGCTCATCATACCAAATTTCATCAAAATCTGTCCAGTGGTTTTCTCGTGATGCGTTCCCAGATAGACAAACAGACAGACAGACAAAATTTCTAAAAACGATCTCTGTATCGAATGTAATGACTATTTCAATAAGATTTTCCAAAAAATATTTTATGTACAGATTCGACTCGTTAGAATTTTATTATATACTCGTATTATATATAGATATAACTGTATTACATAAAAAAGTAAAGGATCCACATAATATATGTAGATAAGGCTTAACCTAAGCGAGGGCGATATTTAAGGTTTAAATAGAATTCATATTACATTCAAAGTGAACAGTATCTTACAAATACAATGCGTAAAATCACCAATTTAATTACTGGGCCAAAATGAATCATATTCAATTCCATAGCGTGTGTCGTCATAGCCGGTGGTCGAGTTATGACATGACTAACCAACAGACATACATCCACAACCGATTGATAAAGGAATATAGGTCTTTTCTCTTAACAAATACGGTGTACATTCGTGTAAAACGTTTTAAAGTAGGATCGGTTTTACAGCAATTACTTCATTAAGGCTAGCGAGCGTTAGTCTAATGAACGGTAATTATGTTGCGCTAACGCTTATAAATGAGCGGGTTTGTGATGGAGGCAATAAAGGAATTTTTAGCTTCTAATTTATGGCTGGTTTTAATCTGGGCTACTGCTTGTGGTGTAACTTTGATTTGGATCTAGTTGTCAAAATTGCTCTGAGTAATTTGTTTGATCAAAATGTTCCAATATCTTCGGAATTACTATAGGTACCTACTTGTACACGTATTTTACTTATTAGTAGTAGTCATGTATATTGTATATATACATAGAAGTTGATATCTCGTTTTTAAATAATACTAGCGACTCGCGATAGCTCTGCTCGGATTCGTCCCTTACGTTTTAACGTTAAGTATAGATTTCTCAAAGATGAGATATTTTTTTCCGCAGTAAAATTATCCTATATAACACGGACAACCAGCTACCTATATAGCACGGATACCATCATACCAAATTTCATCAAAATCCCTTCAGTGGTTTTTCTGGGATGCGGTCCCAGACAGATAAACAAACAGACAGACAATGATTTTAAAAACTACAGATTCGACCTCTGTATCGATAATAATGTTAATTTCAATAAGATTTTCCAAAAAACATTTAATGTACAGATTCGGCTTAGTTACAATTTTATTATATGTATAGATTACAACATTCATAAGTAAGTCCCTAATTTGATACAAATACCAATTCAACTTTTTTCTAGGAAAGTCATTTGGGATTTGAATGTCTTAGATATGTCTAGCATTATAACCATCATTCCTTTGTGTCTTCTCCATTTTATGTCGTTATCATTGGCGAAGTAATTGTGCTCGACTGGCACGCTCTGAAGCAATTAACAAGAAAATTGAATTGAATTGAATCATCAATATGTCATGTTTAACAAATGTCAAATATTATATTTTGACGTTTGCTAAACATATTTAGTTAAAACATTTACACCAAATTAAGAATTTCATTCGCATCTCTTGATCCTTAAGCAAGGGATATACATACCTATATGAGGCCACAGAAAAATTATAGCAGCAAAGACAGTACTAATGAAGTTTAATAATAATAATAATCAGTGATTGAAGGAACAATACAATAACGCGATATTTGGGTCAGCTCTTCGAGGACATTAAAAATTCCATTGAATTGAGGTGTCAGCGGTCGCTGATTGCGAGGTCATACAATTGATTTTTATGATCGCCACTGGACTTCCTAATATAATAACTAGATATATCTATTCAGTAGTAATTTTTATACTTAGTCTGTTATACCATGTGTTTGTTATTTTACAGCTTTTAATTTCATTAGTTAGTTATATAAAACTAGCGACTCACCCTCGCTTCGCTTGGGTTCGTCCTTAGGTACGTTTTTATTAGACCCTAACACTTTTTCTAAAATAAAAATAGCCTATGTTACTCCCTATAACATCAGGTAGCTTCCAGTGAAAGTCCCGTCAAAATCAGTGCAACCATTTCAGAGATTATACGGAACAAACAGACAGAGAGACAGACAAAAATTAAGAAAAAATGTGTTTTTCTAACAAGTACCGTAATTTCATACGCATTTAGTAAAACGCTGTTATTTTGACGTTACAAACAGACACTTCAATTTTATTTATCTTTACAGATTATATGTATATTATTAGTGAATATATGCCATATGCATTTGTTAGATTATTATGTATTGGAAATAATGAAATAAATAATGTAACTGATTAATAATTCCTTCTAAACAAAAATCGGAAATCTATTAAAGAATTAACCATATATTATGTTTTAAGTACACAACTATTTTCATTCTTATAAAATTTAATGCCGTGGATCAAATTGTTTACATAAACAGACATACGTCCATACCTATATGTAACTAAAAAACTATATATTATTATTCTATAAGTATTATTTTATTGCTATCTCAAGTATTGTAAATAACATATAAATAAATTATGTATTATATCTACAAAAATACAGTTATGAGATTAAACAAGTTTCAGTGTCGATATTAATTAAATTTTAGTTCGCAACATCGGCATGACTGCGAACTTTCTTTAACTCCTCAAAGATTCACTTTAATTGAATCGAGAGGGCTTACTTACCAATAATCAAGGGTTAAGTTCGTTCCACTTAATAACTTTAAGAGTTCAAGTCGTGATGTGCTTGATAAATTAGTTAGACTTTAATTGTCAGATTAAACGCCATCCGCAATGAATTGGTACACGACAGACATAAAGGAATTGTTATTGTTGTTGTATTTTACTACTAGCGACTCACCCTCGATCCGCTTGGGTTCGTCCCTACTTACGTTTAACGTTTTTAACGTTTAGTATAGATTTCTCAGAGATGAGTGATTTTCCCGCAGTAAAAAGTATTCTATATGTTAACTCGGATAACCAGCTATCATCACACCAAATTTCATCAAAATCCCTCCAGTGGATTTTCCGTGATGCGGTCACAGACAGACAGACAAAAATTCTAAAAACTGTAGATTTGGCTTTTGTATCGAAAATAATGACTATTTCAATAAGATTTTCCAAAAAATATTTAATGTACAGATTCGACTACAATGTTTAGATGTCGTTTTCTTATTCGGTTATCACAAGCTCGAAAGTTCCAATAATCAGTCATCGAATTTATAGTAGCAGTGATGTTATTAAAATTAGATATGCCCTTTTTAGGGTTCCCTAGGCATTCTTCGGGTGCGGAACCCTAAAATGGGTATAAAATATTAACAAGTAATTTTATACGTCTTAGAAGTAGCAATGTACATATGATTTCAGTTCAAAAATATGCTCATGTCATATAAAATGTTAGTAGGTGAGAGCTAAGGTGGCTGTTTCCGGCGGAAGAGCGCTAATGCGTTGAGCGGTCAGGCTTATAACACCTCTTATCACACACTGATTTATATTGAATTATAAGAAGAAATAATATGGTTGTTTTTAAAGTGTTTTTTTTTTCATACAATTTAATTATATATAATGAAGCCAAAATTAAAAACTTTCAAACAATAGTCTCAACTCTTTCGAATATTCACTTTTTCGCCATATTTGAGAATGGAACAAATATGTATATGGGCATCTCAAGCAGATCTATAATTAAGTAATTTTATTCGGATTTCATAAAAAAATTAAGATGTAATAGATATTGTAATATGAATAATAAGTATATCCTATTAAGAACGTATCGATCATCACTATTTTATTAAATCATTTTAGATCTCACAGATGGGGACCTATCCCAATTTCAATAAAATGTATGATCTTAAAGGTCATTAAAAATGTATAGGAAAAATCACTTTTTCCAAATATCCCCATTTTTCCAATTTTCCCCCCAAAATCCTTGTTCCGACCATTATGAACATTTCAAGGTAAATTTTTTGCAGCCTTTTTACGAACGTTCCATTTTTATTATATAGATTTAGATTTATTTTGCTTTCAACAAAATATATGTAGATAGGTACTCAGGTACTTTGTTATTCAAACACAGTACCTGCCCGCTTCAAATACATTAACTAAATAATAATTACAATAAAATTAGCATTATCATATCGTAAATTATAATTCTAAATATACGTTTTACCCTCTCAAGTGGCACACACGACTACAATTTAGTACGTAATTCTATTCAGACGCGTTCAATTATCATAATTTATGAGTACCTCGCATCTTCAAAATTTATTTAAATTCAAACCTCTTCTTTAGTAATTTATGAAATGAAATAATGTTTTCTAACAAGTTGTTAGGCTTATATCGTTATTATATTAATATAGTAATATTGCAATTTACCCTTTTGTTTCGTATTTGATTTCTCAGTAGCGGCTCACCCTCACTTCGCTCGGGTTAACCTCTAGGTAAACAAAAACAAATCTATCCCACGGGAACCGTACATTTTCCCGGGATAAAAAGTAGCCTATGTGTTATTCTGATGTATGTAGCTATACTATTGTAAAGTTAAAAAAGTAAAAGAGTAACAAAAGTCCATTCATCTACTTTACCTATATCCAGATATCCATGCATCCTCACAAACCTTCACATTTATAATATTAGTAGGATTTAATTTA